GTAGGAGTCTTTGGGAGCCAATAGTCGGCTGCTGGAACAACTTCAAGAAATAGGGGTGGAGAAGGAGCAGTTGACCCAAGAACTACTGGAGGCTCGGAAGGTGGGGCTACCCACAGGGGCAGAGAAGGGAGGTGTGGAGGTAGGGATTGGCCCAGTTTTGGGGGATGGTGGGAAGTAATATGGCCAAATATATGGGAATAGGAGGAGAAAGAAAGTTGACTAGTTCTATGGTTGACTAGTTACTTGGCCAAATCTATGAGAATGTAAAGAGAAGAAAAGTGACCAGTTCCATGAGGATAGGTGAGTGACTTATTAGCCAGTTTGATGGGTATGGATGGGAGGGTGTGGACTTGGGTAGGGTCCTTGGGCATGGGAAGAAGACGGTGGGCCTTTGGTGGTGGGAGAGGAGTTTGACCGCCATCCTTTTGGGCTCCAGAGTGCTGAGAAGCGGAAGGCCATGCTGGATGAACTAGCAATGGAGACACTGCAGGAAAAGTCCCAGCACAAGGAAGAGCTAGGAGCAATCCGACTACGGCATGAGAAGGAGGTGCTAGGGGTTCGGGCTCGCTATGAGCGTGAGCTCCGAGAGCTGCACGAAGATAAGAAACGGCAAGAAGAAGAGCTCCGGGGACAAATCAAGGAGGAGAAGGTGGGTGGGTAGATGACAATGCCCTTCCTTTTCTAAGACCTGGGGACCACAGCATTGCTGGTGGACCAATGAATCGTGTGTATGAGGTATCCAGCTTCACTGTTTGCCTCCTTCCAGGCCCGAACACGGGAGCTGGAGAATCTCCAGCAGACTGTGGAGGAACTTCAAGCTCAGGTACACTCCATGGATGGAGCCAAAGGCTGGTTTGAACGGCGCTTAAAGGAAGCCGAGGTGAGCTGGTGGTACCTGGTGAGGCACAGAGGCTGGTTGGGGGACGCCCATGCCAGATCAGGGGAGTAGGAATGGTCAGGCCCTTGAACTTTCTGATGTGTCTTAGACTTGCTGGTATCCTCTCACAGTCCTCCTGGCTCAACAGAGCCCTCTGGAAGGGATCAATGTCTGGCCAGCAGATGGGGCAGAGTGCCAGGTGTGCAGGGTTACCCTGCTTTTGTGCAAATTTGAAAAGGCATCTTTGGGGGCCAGTAGGTAGCACATTGGTTAAGGCATTGACTTAACCACATGACTGACTGTGGTTCGAGTCCTGGACCCAGTGGCTTGAAACACATGCCGGGCATGTGTGCATGTGTGCCCAAGATCCTAAGAGGAGACTGGTGGAGAAGGGATTGCAGCCTGGTGATTCCCTCCTTGGGGGAGGGTGATTTCTCGCTTTCTGTCTCTCTGGCAAGCACATGAGCCCTATAGTAAATATTTCTCTCAAAAACAAAAAAAAAAAAAAAAGAAAGAAAAGAAAAGGTAACTTTTCCTCCTGAAACTATATCTGTCAGGAAATTATTGTAATACACTGATTTTATTCAAGCAAAAACTTTTATTGCCATTTTCTGGAATATTCATTACAGTACCTGAGAGGCAGTGTCATGTAGCAGTGGAGAGCAGATTGGAGCCAGTTGTTTGCCTGGTTTGAATCCTGGTGGGGCCTTTTCCTAGCTGTATGACCTGGGGCAAGTTATCTGACTTCTCTGTGGCCCTTTTTAATGATTAGTAGAAAGAGGATAACAATACTACTACTGTCTAGATATGATTGGGAGGATTATAGAAATTGAGACCAATAGGGCTGGTTCTGTGGTCTAGTGGTTAAGGGAGCTGGATCCCATATAGTTGACCACATGGTTCAAGTCCTCAACCTGGCGGCTTGAGAAACATACTGGGCCCCTATACACACATGCCCCCAGTCCCAACAGGATGGAAAAATAGAGAAGTGAGTGTAGTATGACCATGCCTCGTTGCTGGAGTGCATTCTGTCTCTGTCTCTCTCTAGTGAGCACATGTGCCCTCTGGCAATAATTTAAAAAAAGAAAATGAGTTAATATATGCAAATCTCTTCGAACATTCCTGGCACATAGTAAGTGCTGAGTTAGAATTTGTCGTAGAAAATGTAAATGTAAACCTACATCTACGATGTGAATCATGTAGCCTTAGATGTGCCACTTCTGCGTGCTGCCTCAGGGCATGTGATGTTCCTCCAAAAGGGTCTTTTTCTAGTGGCTGTAGCCAGACCTGGGACTTGTCTTTTAGGAATCCCTGCTGCAGCAGCAACAGGAACAAGAGGAAGCCCTCAAGCAGTGTCGGGAACAGCATGCTGCTGAGCTGAAGGTGCCTTTTGCATAGGGTATTCCTCTCTCTGGACAGAAGGGGCCCTTGTAGGAAGATGAAGGCTTCCCAAACTGAGGCCTGAGCTGCCCTCTGCTTGCAGGGCAAGGAGGAGGAGCTACAGGGTGTAAGGGATCAGCTTCTTCAGGCCCAGGAGGAGCGAGACAACCATCTGAAGACCATCAGCAGTCTGAAGCAGGTCAGCAGGTCCTCTGTAGCCCCAGTGTGCGATGGTAGGATAAGGGAAGGGGGTTGCTGCAGGCCACCCTTCAGGCAGCCACCAGCTGTACTTTCTCTACCTACAGGAGGTGAAGGACACGGTGGATGGGCAGCGGATCCTGGAGAAGAAGGGTAGTGCTGCGGTGAGATGGAAGGGGCCCAAGACAACCTCCTCCCGGCCTGTAGCCCTCCAGCTGTGGACCCACTGGGTCTCAGCCCTCATCCTCCATTGTCCCCTCATAGCTCAAGGACCTCAAGCGGCAGCTGCACCTGGAGCGGAAGCGGGCAGACAAGCTGCAGGAGCAGCTGCTGGACATCCTCACCAACAGTAAGAGCCGCTCAGGTGAGAGGGGCCAGGGTGGACATGGTAGGCAAAGGAGCAGGGCAGGCAGAGCTTGGGCCTCTTGCACCTCCCTTGACTATGCTCCCCTGCCTCTCTGTCCCTCTTGAATGTATCTATATTTTACTTTTTCTATCTCTGAGTTTTTCTCTTCTGTTTCTGTCTCCTTTTTCCTTTCTCTTCTCAGTTTGTCTTTCTGCCTCTGTCTCATTTTTAAAAATAATTATTTTGTCTCTATTATTTTTTAACTTGACCAGAGAGAGAGAGAGAGAGGGAAGGTGAGAAAGCAAGCCGCCAGGCCTAGGATTCAAACCACGGTCAGCATTTGGGAATCCAGCACCCAACCACCTTGCTACCTGCCAACCTCTGCCTCTGTCTCATTTTTGTTCTCTCTCTTCTGTGTTTGCCTTTATCTTCCTGATTGCTTTCTCTAGCTCTCTTTTTCTCCTCCCCCCTTTTCTTCTCTCTGTCCCTTTATCTTTTTGTATCTCTTTATTCTCCTCTCTTTCTATCTCTGTCTTCTATGTCTCTGTCTCCCTATCATCCCTATATACATATTTCCATACCTCATGTCGTGTTGGTAAGCTTAATGTATCCCTTCTCTGGGACCAGCAGTTGGTGTAATGGCTATGTTGCTGGACTCCCATGTAGTCGAGCATGGTTTGAGTCCCAGACCTGGTGGGACTCACAGTGAGCCCATATACGTGCATGCCCAAGATCCCGAGAGGAGAATGGAGGAGAAAGGATTGTGGCATGGCCTTCCCCCATGGAAGTTGATTTCTCGCTTTCTGTCTCTCTGTCTTTCTGGTGAGCACACAAGCCCTATAGCAAAAACCTCACCCCCCCCACAACACAAGCCCTATAGCAAAAACCTCCCCCCCCCCACAAAAATGTATCTCTTATCTTATTCTATAACTCTCCATGCTCAAGTTTAATTTAAGGCCCATGAAACCCCCTGAGCCTCTTCTCTGCAAGAACTCCCAGGTGAGCTAAAGAGAGAGACTTCCACACAGGCAGCAGCACTGCAGTGTTTCTGTTCTACAGCCAATCTTGTCCATAGTATTTCTGCCACTTTAAAGCAGAGGAGACATACACACACACACACACACACACACACACACTTACACACTTGAGTTGCTTCAGCCTATTTTTAGATGGGGATGGCCTATAAATACATTTAAATAAATAGGATGTCGTGATGGCTCTGGTGTATCTCTTAGATCACAAACTCAGAAAACTCATTCCCTCATCCCCTCACTCAGGGTATCCATGCAACCCCACTTAGCCACCCCATGCTTGTTGGAGATCTCCAAGGGTGTGGTGTTAGTAGCCTCCCTGACACCCAAAAGTGGTCACAAGAGTAGCCGCAGAGGCTCAGTGTTTTACGTGACATGGCAGACTGTCTCTCACCAAATCAATTTCTCTCTGAGGCATTCAGTCTCCTGAAATAACCTCTCTTTATTAAGGAGGAGTTTTGTTTCTGTTTTGTTACATGTTAACACAAAAATCACAGAACAGATTAGATTGTAGTTAGAGTAAATCAAGATTCAGGTGCATGGTTATGAGTCTGTCTCTATTTTTGTTCACTCTGTCTCTGCTCTGACTTGTGTATTTCTCCAGGGTCTCTGTCTCTGCCATCTGCTCTGGCTTTCTGTCTCTCTGGGCCCCTGTGCCCTCTCTAGTTGTCTGTCCTCCTTTCTCTGCATCCTGAGTCTGGGCATGTATGCCATTCAAGGCACATATGTATCCACATCACCCCTTCCTCCTGGCCTCTTTTTTTCTCTTGCGCTGAATGTGTTTGCCTAGAGAGGCAGCTCCTTTTTCAGTTTCTGCCCTTTCCTGTCTTTCTGTCTGCTTCTGCCTTTCTTTATGCCCAAGTGTCTCTTGGCCTCTTTCAGCTCTGTTGAATCTATTTCTGCCTCTTCCTGCTGGTTGCTGCCCTGGGACCTGGGGAGATTGGGGCTCAGGTTTCTCTTCCCTCCGCTGCCCAGGCCTTGAGGAGCTGGTTCTTTCAGAGATGAACTCACCAAGCCGGACGCAGACAGGGGACAGCAGTAGCATCTCTTCCTTCAGCTATCGGGAGATCTTGCGAGAAAAGGAGAGTTCAGCTGTTCCAGCTAGGGTAAGCAGCAAGGAAGAGCCTGGAGCCCCAGCTTTCTACTTTGAAAATCTGGGACTCCCGCCTTTTTTATCCTCACTCATAATTATCACCTGTTCTGGGCTGGGCACACACATCTTGTCAGTGTCCCCCTAAGCTCACCAACTTGAATTCAGATTGCTTTCATGGGGGTGGGCCACTCTCAGACACTCTTTGTCTTTGTCTATGGGCTAATTCCACCTTTCCTGGTACCATACAGTAATATAGTATAACTTATAGCAGATGTACCATGGATGTCCCTTTTTCCAAGTTCCAGTAATTACTTGTTACTGCCAACTGTCATATCAACTTGTTTGCTAGCCACTTTTCATTAAAAATGTGATTCATGTGATTTGGGGCCAGCAGGTGATGCAGAGTTAAGGTGGTTGGATCCAGCATGACTGACTGTGAATTTCAAGTCCTGAACCTGGTGGCTTGAAAAACATGCCCTATAGCAAAAGCTAAACAAATAAACAAACAAACAAAAAACAAAAAAAAAAAAAAAGTTTTTTCTTTTATTTAAAAATAGTTTTATTTATCATTATTATTATTTTTTAAAATTTTATACGAGTACTCACCAGAGAGAGAGAGAGAGGGAAAATAAGAAAGCAAGCCACAGGTCCTGGACTTGAACTGCAGTCAGTCATGTGGGAGTCTACCACCCCAAACACCATGCTATCTTCTGGCCCCTCTTATTATTTTTTTTTTAAGTTTGCTATAAGGGTACATGCACTCGCCAGAGAGAGATGGAGAGAAAGAGAGAGGGAGTGAGAAATCATCTTTTAGTGGGAATGGCCATGCTGCCACAATCACTTCTCCTCCATTCGCCTCTTGGGATTTTGGATACACTTGAATGTACATGTGCCCTGCATGTTTTTCTTTCTTTCTTCCTTTCTTTTTTTTAATAGGGTGGATGGGGGAGAGAAAGGGGCAAGATTTTTTTCTTTTATTTATTCATTCATTCATTTTTTAATTTGACCAGAGACAGACAGAGGTTGAGAGTGAGAGAGAGAGGAAGTGAGAAAGCAAGCCACCAGATTCAGGACTCGAACCCTGATCAGCCATGTGGGAGTGTCCAGCGCCTTAACCACCACACCACCTGCTGGTCCCCCTGCATGTTTTTCAAGCTATTGGGTCCAGGACTCAAACCATGCAGTTGGTCATATAGGACCCAACCAATTTAACCTCCATGCTACCTGCCAGCCCTAACATTTTTGTTTTTGTTTTAATTTGCTATAGGGAACATGTGCTCGCTGGAGAGAGAGAGGGAAAGTGAGAAATCACCCCCCAAGGGGATAGCCATGTCACCTCCTCCATTCTCCTCTTGGGATTTTGACCACACATGCACATGTGCCTACTGTGTTTATCAAGCCACGAGGACCCAGATTTAAACAGTACAGTTGGTGATATGGGATTCAGTCACCTCAACCACTATGCCACCTAGCTAGCCCCCATGTGTTTTTTTTTTTAATCTCTAAGTGATATGTGTACATTGTATAAGAATTATGTAAAAACAACAAAGTTTAAAACAAATTTTTTAAATATCCAAAAACAAATTTTCATCATCTAGAGACTGCTATTACAAATTCTTAGTTCATACCCTTCCAGATCTTTGTCTTTTTAAAACATAAATGAAGGGACCTGCAGATGGCGTATTGGTTATGTAGACTCCCATGTAGTCAACCGCAATTTGAGTCCTGGACCCAGAGACTTAAAACTCACGCCAGGCATGTGTGTGTACCTGCCCAAAATCCCGAGAGGAGACTGGAGGAGAAAGAATTGTGGCATGGCCATCCCCTTGGGTGGGGTGGGGGTGATCTGTCACTTTCTGTCTGTCTCTCTGGTGAACGCACATGCCCTATAGCAAAAAAAATCTCTAAAATAATTTTTAAAATAAAATAAATAAATAAAATGTAAGTGAGATCACGAGCAACTCATTTCTACTCACCTGATTTCTCTAACTTCCCAATTGATAAATTTTCATCTCATTGACTTGTTTGACCTTAATCAGACATTTCTTATTGGACCCAGATATCTTTTATTGGTGGTTTTATGAAGACCAGTATTTTGTTTCAGAGCTCATGTCCCTTTAAGTCTCTTTAATCTAGTACGTCCCTTTTCCCCTGACCCCATATTGTTGAAGAGACCTGCCCTGCCCAGTTGAACTGCAAGAAGTGTCCTGCCTTTTGGATATGTCCTCTGGCCTCCTAATGGTATCATTTAGCTTGCTCCCCTCTCCTAGTTTTTCTGTCAACTGGAAGGTAGATCTCATTTGCTGTGGGGTCTCCCTTTTAATCCCTTCTTCTCCTTCTAAGCCCCTGATCCTGTCCTGGTGGGAGCCTGGAGTCAGCCTCTCCCCTCTTTCCTACAGTCCTTATCCAGCAGCCCTCAGGCCCAGCCCCCTCGGCCAGCAGAGCTGTCAGATGAGGAAGTAGCTGAGCTCTTTCAGCGGCTGGCAGAGACACAGCAAGAGAAATGGATGCTGGAGGAGAAGGTGCTGTCTATGAGCCTGCTAATCCTCGCTTGAAGTGCCCTTGATGGAAGGGTGGGATCTGGCTGAGCCTGTCCTCATGTGTGAGCATGTGCATGCTGTGAAGGGGTCTGAAGTGGGCTGGGCCGCCTTGCAGGTGAAGCACCTGGAGGTAAGCAGTGCCTCCATGGCGGAGGACCTCTGCCGCAAGAGTGCCATCATTGAGACCTACGTCATGGATAGCCGCATTGGTCAGTGCCCCCTCCCTGGCCCTCATCCAGGTCCAGCTTTCTTGGCCCCTCCCTCTCTATTGCCTTGGGTTGTGGCTTCTTTTCTTTCTTCCTGGGCCTCAGTGAAGCCACCAGCAAATCCCGGACCTGGGGAGGGGAGAACGGGGAAGCTGTCTTTTTTTTCTCACTTCCTCCCTCCTCTCTCTGTCTCTCATCTCTGCACTCTTCCACTACCCAGTGTATCTCTCTGTCCTTCTCTTTCCCCTTTATTCTCCTTTGTCTGAGTTTTTTCTTTATCTCCCTTCTCTCTCCTCCCTTTCTCTTTTTTCTGCCTCCTTCATATCTTGTTCTATCTATATGGTTCTATCTCTAAATGTTCCTTATTTATGTCTGTTCCTTATCTGGACCCTTTTAGGGTCCTTACCTCTGCCTCTCCCTCCTCCTGTTCCTCTCCTTTCTTCTCTCCCTCCTATCTCCCACCTTTTTCCTCTTTCCTCTCCTTCCCGTCTTTATTTCCTTTGCTCTTTTCTTTCAAACCTCTCTTGCTCCCAGATTTTCCCTCATTACTCAGAATAATACCAACTGACACATGCTGAGTTCACTGTGTGCTCTGTGCTTCACAAGCTCAGGTGCATTTTTCTAGTTCCATGAATTAGTTATCCCCATTTCTTAGGACCACAAAGCCTGTAAGTGACAGAGTGGGTTTTACTTGTCAAGAGCCTATACCCCCTATGTAGTAGAATGACATGGCTTCGCACCCTCTCTGCCTACCCCATGCCTGTCATTTCCCTCTTTTCTTTGGCTCTGCCAACGGGTTGGTTCTCAGTGTGGGCCCTTGCAGATGTGTCTGTGGCAGCAGGCCACACAGACCGCAGCGGACTGGGCAGCGTCTTGAGAGACCTAGTGAAGCCAGGTGACGAGAACCTTCGGGAGATGAACAAGAAGCTGCAGAACATGTTGGAGGAGCAGCTCACCAAGAATATGCACTTGCACAAGGCAAGTGTGGGCTCCCAGTCTACCCAGCTATCTATCCAGCCATCTGCCTGCCCAGCCATACAGCCCCTGGGTCATCTGCCAGTCCCCTATCTACTCATCTAGCCCCTGAGCTCCCCATTCATCAGCTGCCCCTTCATGCTCTTATTTGCCACCCTCTGATTAACTTACCATTTTTGTCCTTCCCTCTTCCATCTGCCCTTCCATCCACCTATTTATCCATTTCATTCACACATACATTCACCCATATCCATCTACCTACCCCACTAGTTACCCATCTAATCATCTTCCCATGTCTTTCCACCCACTTCCTGACATTCTCATCAATCATCCCTTGTCCTATCTTTCACCCCACGCAGCAGTGACTTCCCTGCTGACCTCTTGTCCTACCTCTGTCCTCTGGACAGTTCATTTTCCTACCATAGACCCCACACACATCCACTCACACACCTATTTGCCCAACCTACCACCCACATATTTCCCCTATCTCTCGGGGAATCAGAAAAGAATCAGACCTAGCTCCTGCCTTTGAGAGAAGCAAGCTCACATTTAGTGGAACATATGGAGGTGAGGGGGGTGGTTATATTTATTCTTCTGTAGCACCATGCCCCAGCAGGTGCCCATTTCCCTCCCCTGGAGCTCCAGAGGATGGGTGCATCTTTTTTTTTTTTTTTTTGAGAGGTTTTCACTATAGGGCGCATGCGCTCGCCAGACAGAGAGAGAGACAGAAAGCGAGAAATCACCCCCAGGGGGGATGGTCATGCCACAATCCCTTCTCCATTCTTCTCTCGGGATCTTGGGCACGCACCCACACGCACCCAGCGTGAGTTTTAAGCCACCGGGTCCGGGACGCAAACTGCAGTCGACTACATGGGAGTTCAGCGACATAGCCATTACGCTAACTGCTGGTTCCCAAGGATGGGTGCATCTTTTTTTTTTTTTTTTTGAGAGGTTTTCACTATAGGGCGCATGCGCTCGCCAGACAGAGAGAGAGACAGAAAGCGAGAAATCACCCCCAGGGGGGATGGTCATGCCACAATCCCTTCTCCATTCTTCTCTCGGGATCTTGGGCACGCACCCACACGCACCCAGCGTGAGTTTTAAGCCACCGGGTCCGGGACGCAAACTGCAGTCGACTACATGGGAGTTCAGCGACATAGCCATTACGCTAACTGCTGGTTCCCAAGGATGGGTGCATCTTTTTTTTTTTTTTTTTGAGAGGTTTTCACTATAGGGCGCATGCGCTCGCCAGACAGAGAGAGAGACAGAAAGCGAGAAATCACCCCCAGGGGGGATGGTCATGCCACAATCCCTTCTCCATTCTTCTCTCGGGATCTTGGGCACGCACCCACACGCACCCAGCGTGAGTTTTAAGCCACCGGGTCCGGGACGCAAACTGCAGTCGACTACATGGGAGTTCAGCGACATAGCCATTACGCTAACTGCTGGTTCCCAAGGATGGGTGCATCTTTTTTTTTTTTTTTTTGAGAGGTTTTCACTATAGGGCGCATGCGCTCGCCAGACAGAGAGAGAGACAGAAAGCGAGAAATCACCCCCAGGGGGGATGGTCATGCCACAATCCCTTCTCCATTCTTCTCTCGGGATCTTGGGCACGCACCCACACGCACCCAGCGTGAGTTTTAAGCCACCGGGTCCGGGACGCAAACTGCAGTCGACTACATGGGAGTTCAGCGACATAGCCATTACGCTAACTGCTGGTTCCCAAGGATGGGTGCATCTTTTTTTTTTTTTTTTTGAGAGGTTTTCACTATAGGGCGCATGCGCTCGCCAGACAGAGAGAGAGACAGAAAGCGAGAAATCACCCCCAGGGGGGATGGTCATGCCACAATCCCTTCTCCATTCTTCTCTCGGGATCTTGGGCACGCACCCACACGCACCCAGCGTGAGTTTTAAGCCACCGGGTCCGGGACGCAAACTGCAGTCGACTACATGGGAGTTCAGCGACATAGCCATTACGCTAACTGCTGGTTCCCAAGGATGGGTGCATCTTTGTAACTTTGCCAAGCGCAGCCACTGCTGGGGGCTCTTTATGTTTAAGTGCTGCCCTATCCCAAGCCAGACACAGCTGGGCATTGATTAATGGGGTTAGAAGGAAATCACAGGTGACACACCAGGTTTGGAGAGGGAGCTTCCCCTGTCACCTTCTCTGGCCCTGATGGTTCATTTGTTCTTTAGGACATGGAAGTTCTGTCCCAGGAAATTGTGCGGCTCAGCAAGGAGTGCGTAGGATCTCCTGACCCAGACCTGGAGCCTGGAGAAGCCAGCTAAAGACCTGCAGGCTGCACCTACTCCTTCCCCTTCCCACCCTCTTCCCCCAAGACACCATGCCATTCCCTTGGGCTGTGGTGGGAAAATAGGGGCCTGGCTCCAAAGGAGACTGGACATTAAAGGGGCTGGAGACGAAGGCTGGTGTTAATGACCCTGTCTTAGGGCAGAGGCCCCCGGAGAGGGGGGATCCTGAAGGAGGGGGCAGGGATTTCTCTCTGCTCCCAGGGATTTCTGCCTTCATTTCTGCATGAGCTCTCCTTCCCAGAGACCAACTCTTTTTAATTTAATTTTATTTTTTAACTTATGTCTGGGAGCCTGGCTACTTTGCATTTGGAATTGGGGATGTTGGGTGGGGGCATGGTCCATGTTCAGCATTCTAACGTGTGTGTGTGTGTGTGCGTATGTGTGTGTGCGTGTGTGTGTGTGTGTGTAAAGGCTGTGCAGCCAAAATACCATCTGGCCACATGGGCCCACCCACTGACTGTTTGGTCTCATTCTTTCTAACCAGGAGGGATGTGGTGGAGGTGGGGAGGTCATAACCACTGGAATAGGGAGGGAAGTCTCTGGCTGCAAGTTTACTTTTATTCCCTCATCCTCACCCTCACCCAGCCTGTCAACATTTACTGCTGACCAACCCATTAAACTGAGTGGAGCAAAAATATCTGTAGATGTAGATATGGGTGGATGTGTATGGGGTTGTGGGTGTAGATGAGTGGACAGATGGGAGGATGGATAAGTGGTTGGATGAATTAATAAGTGCAAAGTTGTGTGAATCAGTGATGGATAGGTTCAAAAATAAATGGACAGGCAGGTAAGTGGATAGATGATAAGATGAATAAATGGATGAAAAGATGGGTAGCTATGAGGAAGAATAGTGTGAAGAAGAAAATGAGCAAATGGACGATTTGTGAATTGGGTGGGTGGATTTATACATAGATTGGAAGTAAATGGATGGATGGATAGGAGAATGGATGGGCTAATGAATGGGAAGGGTAAAGAGGGTGAATAAGTGTTGGGTGGAGCTATGGGTAGATGGACAGATAGATGGGTAGAGAGAGGATGGATATATATGGCTAGGTTGGTGAATGGGGTGACCATACAAATGGATGAGTAGTGGCAGGGTTAATGACTAAATGCATAGTGAGTGTGGAGGGATGGGTAGAGTAATTGCCTAGGTGGGAGCATGGAAGGATGGATGGAAAAATGGACAAATCAGGAGTGTGCTAAGTAAGGAAATGGAGAATCACATGGGCAGGTGAATTGATTGAAGGGCTAGACTTGGCCCTGAATCACTGTGCCCCATCACTACAGGGCTTTAATTACTTAGGGTTAGGTAGCTCTAGTGCACCGTTCGGCCGTATCATCTTTTTTCACATGCCTTTATTTAATGTTCCTAATGACACTATTGAGTTGGGATAACTCCATCTGACAACTGAGGAAACAAAAGTCACTTGCTCAAGGACATAGCAAGTTTGGCAAAGCTGGGGTCTGAACACATCCATGCCCACCAGAGGTATTCCATACTCCGAGCTCCTGCCATCCAGGAGCAGAGCCCTGTAGGGGAGGAGGTGGGGCTTGAAGCATCTGGATGTGGACAGATACGGGAGACTGTCCTCTGAGTGGGGCCTGCCTGGAATGGACCTGGATTGTCCCTGTCTGCGCACCCCCTTCATTTCACGTCCCCAAACAGGAAAACGTGTGCTCCAGTTACACAGCTGAAGTCTTAGCACCATGTCCTCTCCCAGGGGCAGCTTTGGAGGCCTGGACATCTAGAGAAACATCCCACCAATTAACTCCCCCCCATCTTTGCTGCTTCTGCCCTTCCACAGCCTGGGGGCAGGGAGGGGACACAGCGCTGCATCATTCCCCGTGGCACTCGCTCTGGGGCCATTAACAGACGCCTCCCCATCGATCCGGATCTGCTAAGTGCTGCTGATTCAGGCGGGTGGGGGTGGGGGCCCCTGGGGGCAGAGAGGGTAGGAGCTGGGCAGGAAGAGGGGGGAGTTGAGGAAGGAGGTGGGGAGAACTGGCAAAGCTCCCTGCCACCCCCATTTTCCAGATGACGCGACTGAGGCCCAACCAGCTTTGTAGGAGGCGGAGTCTCCCCAGGGTCCCTCTCAGGCTGTCCTAGGGGAGGGGGCTCTGGGAGCCACCCCCAGCCCCACCGCTGTTGCTGTTGCTGCAGTGGGGACACAGGTGAGGACGGCCCTGTGGGGAGGGGGAGAGGATCACCAATAGCGCTGTCCTTTTCCTTCCCTGGTCCAACCCCCATGCTCTAGCCCATCCTGGGACAGTCCCCAGGGGTCCCGTTGGATCTTGTCCTTCCAGAGCCTCCTTCCAGGGACCCAGCCCCCTCTCCCTGCCTGTGCCGTCTTCCTTCCTAGGCCCGGCTGTG